CTCGAAGTAGATTGGTCTCTCTAAGCGAGATCCCAATTCGTCGGTCATCCGACGTGACATCTCCGTTCCCTCCTCCAGGGAACGAGGGTTACAATACGTAACCGAGACGTTTCTCAAAGTTTAGCTAGTTATCATATATTGATTGTATTTTTTAAATGATTTGGTGTGTGTGCTCAGGTTTTGCCTTCTTTTATTTTTATGAAATAAAATAAGAACATTTTATTGAACCTTTGAAAAAAAAAAAGGTTGCATATGTGTTTTTTGATAATATTTGACATCAGGCTTTTATGGCTCATATAGTATAGAAATTGAAGAATATGGAGCTCATTGAGGAGGAAAAAACCCATCAGTTTTATTTAGAGGTCTAAACAAAGCAAAATAATAATTTGGTGCAGTTGCTGATATTCATATGGCTAAAAAGTAAAAAGAAATTATGATAGCTTGTGATGTAAATCTTGTTGTCACTCTATATATCCAAATAATGTTCTATATAGTAAGATGGTATTTACATGATAATTTTTATGATCAGAGCTCTGTAGTTTTTATTGTGGTGCAGTAAATGTTCATTTTGAAATATTACTAACATTAAAAAGTTATTTTTACATTTCTTTATAAAAATCCATAAAGATTTAACAGCAAAAAGACACATGTATCACGGCCTGAAGCTGGACATATTTACAATTATGCTAAAAGGACTTGCTAAAAAAAAATTAACTATCAATAGGAGGACATAAGGCATGTAGATTGTGTACAACAGGTTCTTTAGCAACAGTTTGATCATGTTCATAATTTAGAGGCCTTAGAAATTTGTGTCACATATGATACAGGCTTTATAGGGTTAAATAATGCCTGAATGTCAATCTAAAATGTAAAAAAGCCCTCTGTGAGTTTAGGGTTAGCAGACAGAAAGTATCATTAGTTTAGTATGAATCAATGAAAGTCAATAAAATGCCCCCATCATGATAACACAAACAATTTTTGTATGTGTGAGCGTTTGGGTGTAGATAGTGATTGTGACATATCTTTGACACATTGTAGAAATTCTTGTCCCTTTACTTTAAGTTTTATTCTCTCACTGTGAGTTATAAAGGTCAGGGAATACATTCTCTCTCTCACCACTTCAACCTCCACTTCAAAGGCAGAACCGGCAGGGGGAAACCCACTTCCTCACTTGAGCTCTGCTGACTATGCTCTCTTTATCTCAAGAAATGACACTTGAGCAAAAGCACATTTAATTTCAGTGTCACTACGTGGAAATGATTTTGCACATGATTGCGTTGCTTCTTGTGAAGTGCGATTTCAGCTTTACTGAAACACAGCAGCAACTGGCCACTCCAGTGAAGCATTGTGTCTCACATAATCTGGTCTCCAAACATTCTCAAACTACTTATATGTTAGTATATATATATATATATATATATATATATAACTTAAGATAAATATAGGAGCCTGATAAAAATGCTAATTTTAGAAGAAAATTTCAGACGCCACTTAGGTTTTGCATCTGAACTCTTCATATATATATATATATATATATATATATATTTCTTTTAATCTGGTAATAGTCCCATTTTGAACCATAATTTCTGATTCGATTGCATCATTTGCAGCGTGTCATGGAAATTGTTGTGCATTGCCTCATAAAATAATTTAAACATACCGTCTTGTAATTTTTTTTTTAATGATTCTCAAAAGCTTTTTTGCTCAGAAACCCCAGAACACCTTTATGTTTTCTGTACTGAAAGTCACTGAGTAGATAATTTCCTGGCCTTTACGGCACACAAAATTTTCAGTCCCCTAAAAGAGTTTGAACTTACTCACTTAATGGCATAAGCCTTGTTATCATTATCATCAATCAACATTTTCATTTTTATTTTACACTTGCTACTGTTGGATTTATAAACGTGCCCTAGATCATCACTTCCGCCACACATGTAATGCTTTTCCAAGTGATGAATCACACATTATTCATCTTTTTTAGAACATTTATTTATTTTATAACTTCCCCCAAGTATTGTAAAAATGGACAGCAGTCTTAGGTGATACTATCATTTATCACACACAGACCCTCTGGTCTTTCCAGAATGACTAAGAAACTTCTGAAGAACAGTTTATTGCTTGAAACAGCCACATGTCTTTTTACCTTTGTCATCTGAAATTACAACCTTAGATTATACGTTTTGATAAAATACTCATCAAATACAAGCAAAATTGACAGCATCCTGGCATTACATATTTATCCAATGTATCAACACATGAAAAGCTACAAATATGCTGATTTTAGCAAATACAAATAAGCTAATATGTGCAATATTTACTTTTTTAGACATGAATATGCAGACTGGAGCTCTTTCATACAGATGTACAGACAACAAAAGATCAGATCATCTTTGGTGTGACAGCATGTTTATGAAGTCACTTTTTATGAACACTGTCATTAATTAATAACATTGGGTTTATCTGGAGGATCTATTACATTTTTCTTTTCTTTTTTTGTCTGAGTGCACATTTCATTGTCTTGCATTGCAACTACTCAACAAAAACACATTCCATGGGAATAAAACCCTGAGATGATTTTCCATATCATCTGAAAACACTTCCTGAAGGGGGGAAAATAATTGCTGTAGTGTGCACTTTTGTCCTCTTTTCTCAATGGTTGTATTATCAAGGGATCTCAAGCTATTTAAAGACAAGGCACTCACATGGGGATTACAAATATACATTAATCTAAAACAAACATTAACCTGAAATTATTTCCTGAAATTAGTTACTAAAGGCAAAGACAGACTAATGTTAGTGGTCAAATATTCAAATTCAATAGACTCACACACATTATGATTAAAAATTAAAAAAACTACAAATGTAGGTCAGAATGCATAGTTTCAGATTACACAGGCCTGACTTTGTAGTTCACTGGAGATACATTCGTTCTTAACATACATAGCACTGCTATGGTCAACAATCAGAAAAATAAAATTACGCAAATATAATCTAGTATAATAATAATTTTCACGAATATTTCAACATATTTTAAAGCACAGATTTACTCTCATTAGGGCCTGCCCTTATGTGATCAAATATGGAATACATAATCAATGCACCTAGCACAAATACAGTGATTTGCAATTATATATATATATATATAGTCTGTATTAAGGATATAATATGCATTTTTCATACTGTACATTATAATGTTGTGATGCCTAAATAAATTAAACGTTGTTGTTTGAAGAAAATAGTGTATATGTATATCCAGCTATTTATTTTCATCAGTCAAAATAGAAAAATAATTATCTGCTTATCTGTATTGGTCAGATTTTAACATTGGTGCATCCCTAGTATGCATTTCAAATACAGTATGTTGTCATTATATATTCATGTTCTCAAAACACAAAAGGCACTGCATTAACAAAACTACACACCTCACAAACTGTTCATCAAACAATAAAAACCGCAGGTCTGTCTTCTCTTAATGTCCAATCACTGTCCAATCAGTGTAGACTGTCCTTATTTAGGACCATTTATGCTGAATCATCTTGTAAATGAGTTTGGCTCCACAATTCTGACAGCACATATATGAATGCAAACTATACAAGTAATCCAATGGCGCTCAGCAAAAATCCACCTTAACTAGCCATATTCACTAGATGGTGGCCCTCTAACCAGATTGTAGTAGCCAGCCAAGGCGCCCAGATCTACATGGAGGGAACCTTTCTTCTTAGAATGCCCAGAATCCTCAGTGTACAAGGAAGAATCTGAAAATAGATGAGTAAAGGATATCAAGCATGCAATTTAATTAATTTGTCATGGTATACTGTACGTGTGTGTGTTGTGTGATATACCTTGGGTGCTGTCTGAAAACTGACTGAGCTGTCGCAGCATTGGATGTGTGCCTTCCTCCAGCGCAGAGTCCAGACTCCAACAGCGTGGCTGGTCCTCCCGAGAAGGATGGAGGGCCTCCTCGTTCAGTAATTCTGTGGCAGAGCTCCTCTGCGCAGGGACCCTATCCAGTGCATGCTCCAGGAGCCTCCGCATCGCGGGGCTACAGCTTTCAGGTATGTCCTCCAGAGGAGGGGCCTGTTTGTGGATCTGCAAACAGGGATTATGAAAATCAATGGTGGCACAGGTGCATTCGCAAGCAGCCACATGCAAAGAAACACAGTACAGGAAATTACATTCATTTACATGAAAAGGAACTGTAGTATGTGAAAAGGGAACTGAAACCAGTTGGACTGCAGTGCAAATGTTGAACACAAATGTTTGACAAAAATAATTTTTTATAGAGCCAGCTTTCAGTCTGCTTCCATTACATGGGCAGCTCTTAAACTGAAACACAAAAACTAATCTGCAACACAGAGGAAGCTTAAACTGCTGATATTAGATTTTTTTTTTTTTAAAGGGGTCATATGATGCTGCTAAAAAGAACATTATTTTGTGTATTTGGTGTAATGAAATGTTTATGCGGTTTAAGGTTCAAAAAACACATTATTTTCCACATACTGTACATTATTGTTTCTCCTCTATGCCCCGCCTTTCTGAAACGCGACTATTTTTACAAAGCTCATCGGTCTGAAAAGCGAGGTGTGCTCTGATTGGCCAGCTATCCAGTGCGTTGTGATTGGCCGAATTCCTCAAGCGTGTGAGGGAAATGTTACGTCCCTTACCATATTGTGATGCCTGCGGCAACCACATGTGACGACCCCGGGTTGGACTCCGCTTCGTCCACGGTGAAAGCCGATCCGGCGATCGACAGCGCGAAGTTGAAGTATTTCCTCAGCGACCAGCACGGATCAGCTCCAGGCATGACGAAGCGATATCATCCTCTTTTGGAAGGACAAACAAAGTAGTTTCGTTTTCACAACGAAGCACACAGCGCCTTCACGACATAGCGGCGGTGGCAACAATACTACAGCGAGAATAAAAGTTACGCCTTCTTTCTTTGCGTGAACATTTGGGCGGCGTTATGCAAATCTTCCCACATAGTGACGTACGTATGTGGGGGTGTGTTAGAACGAGCCGTTTTAGATAGGTGTGGCCGACTCTAAACTTTTATAAAGAATATCTCTTTGGATTTGAGACTTTAGTCTTTGCAACTTTACAGATCTTCAAAGAGAAAGGAAAAATTGAAATCGCATCATATGACCCCTTTAATAAAAGAGATGTTTGGAAATTGCTCACAATGGAAAGAAGAACTTGCCATCACAAGTTTTTTATCTTGTGATCCTTTGCTTTATAGTGGCTAAAAAAAGAAAAGAAAAAGAAAAACTAATAGATTAAAAACTTTCTATATAAAATGTTTAAAGAACTTTGACAGAATTAGCATCCTTTGCTTTACAGTAGTTTAAACTGAAAAAAGGAAGTCTAAAAGAGAAAAAAAACTAATAAAGAAAAAAGGATATAAATAATATTATATACAATTATTATAATAATTATTAAAATGGTCTAGAATTACCATCATTTTCAGTGGTTTAAATAAAACAAATAAATAAAAAGAAAACTAAAAGTGCAAAAGCTAAAAAATAAATAAATTAAAATTATACCGAATTATTATAATCATTATTATTATTAAAATTATACAGAATCAGCATGAGGCATGATGTGCTAATAGAGGCCCTCATGTCATTAAGTTATGACATCAACCTGCATGGCATTTCTGGGTTTTGCTCTGAGGTTAATGTACAGGTGCATCTCAATATATTAGAATGTCGTGGAAAAGTTCATTTATTTCAGTAATTCAACTCAAATTGTGAAACTCGTGTATTAAATAAATTCAATGCACACAGACTGAAGTAGTTTAAGTCTTTGGTTCTTTTAATTGTGATGATTTTGGCTCACATTTAACAAAAACCCACCAATTCACTATCTCAACAAATAGGAATACTTCATAAGACCAATAAAAAAAACATTTTTAGTGAATTGTTGGCCTTCTGGAAAGTATGTTCATTTACTGTACATGTACTCAATACTTGGTAGGGGCTCCTTTTGCTTTAATTAATGCCTCAATTCGGCGTGGCATGGAGGTGATCAGTTTGTGGCACTGCTGAGGTGGTATGGAAGCCCAGGTTTCTTTGACAGTGGCCTTCAGCTCATCTGCATTTTTTGGTCTCGTTTCTCATTTTCCTCTTGAAAATACCCCATAGATTCTCTATGGGGTTCAGGTCTGGTGAGTTTGCTGGCCAGTCAAGCACACCAACACCATGGTCATTTAACCAACTTTTGTAGCCAAATTCCTTGACACGTCTTTGTGTGGTGGCTCTTGATGCCTTGACCCCAGCCTCAGTCCATTCCTTGTGAAGTTCACTCAAATTCTTGAATCGATTTTGCTTGACAATCCTCATAAGGCTGGGGTTCTCTCGGTTGGTTGTGCATCTTTTTCTTCCACACTTTTTCCTTCCACTCAACTTTCTGTTAACATGCTTGGATACAGCACTCTGTGAACAGCCAGCTTCTTTGGCAATGAATGTTTGTGGCTTACCCTCCTTGTGAAGGGTGTCAATGATTGTCTTCTGGACAACTGTCAGATCAGCAGTCTTCCCCATGATTGTGTAGCCTAGTGAACCAAACTGAGAGACCATTTTGAAGGCTCAGGAAACCTTTGCTGGTGTTTTGAGTTGATTAGCTGATTGGCATGTCACCATATTCTAATTTGTTGAGATAGTGAATTGGTGGGTTTTTGTTAAATGTGAGCCAAAATCATCACAATTAAAAGAACCAAAGACTTAAACTACTTCAGTCTGTGTGCATTGAATTTATTTAATACACGAGTTTCACAATTTGAGTTGAATTACTGAAATAAATGAACTTTTCCACGACATTCTAATTTATTGAGATGCACCTGTATGTAGTCAGTTTCATACAGTGAGGTTTTGCCACGTTCAGGGACTCTCCCTATACTGCTTCAGTAAAATACATACATACAAAATACAATTAAAAGAGCGAACAGTTCAATGCATCTCACTCACTATGTAAAGGTATGAGGGATAGGCTGTTCTGGGATATCTCCTAACCCATGGAGGACTTCCACTCAGCATGTGTATGATTGTGGTTCCCAGACTGTAGATGTCAGTCTTTGTGTTGTGTCCTCGACATAAAACTAGCTCTGGACTCATATACATCTGTATAGAAGGAAAAACAAGAAATATGGGGGGGAACAGTGAGCTCAGAACTAACATATGCAGCAACTTTTCTTGTTTTTATTCAAGACAATGCAATTTTGTGCATCGAATACTGGACTAGCTGCTTTCTACTGTTCAGTCACTCTGAATAATATAAATATGAAAAACAACTTCTGATGTAATAGGCAAATGGTTGGTGAACATCTGGTGAGCTGCTCACTGTACTGCCTTACAGTAAACAACTTTATTATTCTATTTGGGGAATCTTCAGTGCTGGTCAACAAGGCATGCTGGACTTTCCAAATTGGGCAAAAAGTCAGCTAATGTGCATGTGTTTGTCCTTTTGGGCCTTTCCCAGAGTTTGTTAGGGAACAGAATGTCAGCTAAGAGGGGGAAAAGTGTGTCTGTGTATGCGTGTGCCTTCTGGCTTTTCAGATCTCCTTTCAGAATCACCATTTAACTATTTTAAAAATGTACATACCATAAGACAATGCATATTTATGACTTTCCAAAGGAATTCTGCCAACAGCACAATCAGGAACTGTCAATTTCTTCATTGGATCTCAATATAGACTAAACTAACCTTTAGTCACAACACAGTGGCAGACCAAATATGGAAAAATTTAAATGTGCAAAGTGACCTCAAACATACTCACCTCAGTGCCACGTAGGTCGCGAGGAATATATACATCATCCTTCATCTGTACTGTAAGCCCAAAATCCACCAGCACGGCTTTAGCAGACATCAGCACAATATTACTGGCTGCGGGGACAAAAATGTAATTTAGGTAATGTCTAAAACACATCAAAGCTAAAAAACAACATTCAGAAGTGTGTAGCAATATTTGAGATGTTACAATTACTTCTGCAAAATATAGGTTGTTCAGTTCTTGTTTGTGCTGCACAGCGAGACAAATGCAGCAAGGTGTTGTTTTCCAGAAGCAGAGTAAGGTCATTACTCATGGGAAGGGTTGAATATTTGAAAAACAGATCATCAGAAGTCTCAAAACCCCCTTTTCTTGCTCTCCCTCCATATTTCACACTACTTGAAATAACATGTTTCCTCTCCAAGCCAAATGTCAGAAAGCCAGTCCTCAAAACCACAAAGCAGGCTACTATGATTGGTCACTCATTTCACTGAATCTCTCTGTCTCTTCATGTTACTCTCTCAGTCTTACTAAAAGCATTATTTAGATGGGTGGCATGTTGAATACACCCTTGAAAGTAATACATTTGAGCAATCGTGTCTGTCTTCTTCCTGCTCTCGCTCTCCTGACTGGAAATTCCAGACGCTTGAGAAGTCATGAGCTGCAGTGCTGACTGACTCCTGCGTATGACTAAACAGCAGCAGAATGCTGTCGGCCACAACCCCACCATATTAAATTGTGTTGTGTTCCTCATCTTTGAAGGGCATAAACTAAAAACGCTTCTCTAGCTTGTGGCCAATGCTCTGTCAATAATTTAACATTGCTGCTTCCTCTAGATGGCCTCATTTCAAGTTCCGTCAAATAAGCTAAATACCTTCCTTGACCACATTATCATGATCTGATTTACCTACAGAGCATCTTTGTTGCATTTAGGGGGAAAATAACAGTGGTTTGGTGTGTGTGTGTGTGTC